ACTGTTTAATTTCAATCATGATTGTTGAATTTTTCCTGCGTAAACAGAAACCTGATAGATTTTCTCTCTTGAGGTAAGCTGCGATATATCGTAAGGACGTTAAATGTCTTGAGAAATAAAGAAGAAGGATATATATATATACAATTTTTATTGGCCAGTAATTCGATCGGATGCGGCGATAAAGACCATCCCGCGTCCAGTTAATTCTTTTACATTCGCGCGATGAAAGATCGGGATGGAGATATGAGAAATCAAATTTTCCTGCGAATATATATATATATATATCGTCGAATTGCCCGGAGGCTGCTTCATCTCGCGATATCTGGGTGACAAGCCGCTCGTAAACCCGACTCGTATAGCTATATTTGGAACTATCGTCAGCGTGGCCGTAATTTCCACATCATTGATATTCATTCTTAATCCCCGCATGCAATTTGCAATTGTTCTGGAGTACAATGCATTTGCTAAATGAGCCCAGATAGCCATGCTTAATATATTTCACAATCCCTTCATAGGTGCGTGATTTTCGTGCCGTCAGTTGCGACCGCGACGCGCTATTCGATCCGGTAGTAAGTATCAGCAACATGATAAGTCAATAAAGTAATTATGTCAAGTACTACTGGATTAAATTAAAGAACACTAATCGACGGACCATATTGTGCCAAGTTTTCATATTACGCATCAAAACCCACGCACGCGATGCGCAATTAATTACCCGACCATGTAATTCTCTGGTAACTCTCGTAGGTCCGGTGTAAGTAATAATTAAAGCGATTAACGATATACTGCAGCATGAAATAACGGTATAATCGTGCTTATTTAGCAAAATAGAAGCAAAAAAGAGAAACTAACATGTACTGTCCGTATATAAAGAGCGGGATCAGGGTGAGAAAAATTTGAAGGAAAATACGAAAAATGATGAAGATCGACATTCCGCATTCTTGATATTTACATGATCCGGTTATTCTCGTTGACAACTTACTACCGCATAAAACAGGATGCGAGGAGATTCAATAACGCCTAACTTTAGGCGGTAAATAAAAATCTACACGAGATCCCACATCCTAAGGCCAATTAATGCGATATTAATTAATTACAAAGTAATATTAATTAATACAATAAAGTTCTCTATACGGGGACAATTTCGTAAACGTAAATAGCATGTAGTATCAATGTCGCTAAGGAATGAAACCTTACAACGCTATTACGGAATTCCTCTCCCAACGGCGAGACTTTACATAACTTTCGCAACGCATGTATATATATGTATATAAAATTCATTATTGCTTCTTTCATTGTTCCGACCGCAAGTGTTGCCGGTTGTATAGCCACGTACACTATTATCAGAACTATTTCGCATCAGATCAATATACATTCCTTCCTTCGCGTCTATCGACCGTAAATAAGAAACGGCCTTGTAAGTACGTAATGCCAGGTGAAATATAACGTAGTCGAAAAACGTGCCTAAAAATCAAACCAAAGAAATACTCGCCGACTCTGATCTTGCCTAACGGTACCAGAGATAAGACGATATATCGGTATACCGGTGATAAGAAGCCGTATTTGCATAAAAACACGTAAATGTTCGTGTTATATGTATATTATACGTGTGATATAAATCGCGTACATTTCGGTCACATTACACTAACAACAAGGTCCCTTTTTACATACCAAGCTATCCTCTTTAATTCGAACTAAACAGTAAAAAGAATTTCTTAAATAATTTTTTGTCGAAGACAAGCTACTTTTTTCACAGTCTATTAAGCAATTTAAATATTTGTTTTTTCTTCTTTATACCTAATGACAGTTCATATAATAAAAATATTTGGAGAACTAACTTATTTTTAAAAGTCGATCACACCTTGTTCGAAGTCGGGTAAACCAACTAGCGATAATATTGCGACCAGAAGCCATCTTTTCCGTCTGGCGAGGGTAGGGTACTTTGTTAACCGCTCCGTAAGAAGATTACCGTTACGCGGTTATGCCACTGCAGGTTCAACGTCACGGTGCAAAATGCCCGGTCAACGCCATGACGATGCGTGTGCACGCAATGCGTGTTTCCAGATTGATTGGAAAATCACTGTCGAATCTCAGTTTATTTTTATTTTCACTTCCACTTTACCATTCCTGGTATTCTCAATAAGTGCAATATAAACTTAGGAAAAAGAGTTTAGTTAACCGTAATAAATAATAATTTAGTTAACCGTAATAAATAATAATTTTTTACATGCTTTAAAATGTGAGATTTCTGCATATTAATTGTATGCACTTGTGCGATGCAGTAATATTATGTTGCGTGATATATTAATTTTGAAAATAACACATTCTAAGTTTCTTTATTATATTCTTTACGAACAATGCAAAACGATCGATTTTATATATTTGTGCAAAAATAGTATTTGTATCTTGCGTCTGTCCTTCGGAGGTTTAGAATGAGTAAAAGTTGGAAGCTATAATCTCGTAAATTTTGACACGAAAGAGAATACTGGGAAATATATTTTAATAATAATAATGCTCGGAAGATGCGAATTTTATGAAGCCAATGGCGAGCGTTTCAGAGAGCCAAGGTTTTCAGTCGAAAATTGTCTTCCGTGTTTCGTAAGGCTTCACATCTCGAAGTTGCGGGAGATACACTCAGAAATCACATGGAAAATCAACACGGTCCAACAAGCAGCGTACAATTGTAAATTAATAAAAAGAGAGGGACACACTATACACTTATATATATATACGTATACTTTTTTTCGAAGAAATAATCAAGCAACAATTTGTAGACGAAAAATACTGGCTTAATCTAAAAGTTATAAGTATAGAAATTCAGTGTTTACGCTTTGGACAGAAAGAGAACTATTTTCTGAGTATCTTTTTTAATTCCTCCAAACCGGAGTTTCACCCGACAGTAAATATTTTCAGTGCTCGTCGCGATCGAAGACAAACGTTCGGATCGAGGCCGCCGAGAAAGTTTAATTTCCTTCTAGAAAGCATCAATCTCAACCGAATGAACCGAGGAAGTTGTTTCTAATTCTGTTGTCACAAAGACCTAGAGCGTAAAGTGCTTAAAAGTCACGACGTTTCTCCCCGCATACTTTCCGTACGTTCGTACGATAAATAGACGACGTACGAATGGTCCTTGGCATATTTCTGAGCAATTGGAATGACGCTTAAATGCAACCGGCATTATTTAAGTCCTGGAAACGAGTGAAAGCATCGTTAACCTTCTCTGGTACCAGACATCAATCACAACGTTAAACAAATTAAAATCATAAGTAACTCTTAATAACTCATGCGCGAATAATTGAAGGGTACTGATTAATTGAAATAACTGTGAGCGTGTAATTAATCTGCAGATTTTCCTTCGATATATTAAACAACCAACAATAATTTTATGTTCTAATTTCACTTGACTTTTTTGTTTTATAAAATTCCTTTTAGCGAAGAATTCAATGTACGCAAAGTAGGAGATTTTATAGAATCTTCTTCAAAATGTCGGAGAAATATATGAAAAATATTTAATAATACCCAGACAAGGATAAAAATGTGGGATTTAATATTGAAAAGTCGAAAACCGAAGAAATTATGGCAGAAAGTCGCTTTTCCACATGACTTTTCGTATAATAACTAGCTATGCTGGAATTTTGTATTATTGCCACACCAAAGTGTGGAATCGCGACTTACAAGACGTGTAGCGTTACGTAACGTTTTCCGTCTACATGCAACGCCTCTAAGAATTTGTCTGCATACAAATGATCGAGAATTATTTCTGAAATTTTTTTCCTCGTTCACGCTTGATTTTAGTGAGCCATGGAGCGGCTAACAGCCTGCTGCCAAGAAAGTAAATCTCGAAAAGAGAAATACATGTGAAATTTTTGCGGTGATCTTATTTTTCAATTCTTGGCGATTCTCCAAAATGGAACAATAGTTACAATGAAAGAGAGAAAATCCGCGTAACGAAAAGGGGGAACTTGAAGCTAATCTTGAATCTCTCGAGCTCATTTAATAATGAAATACGCCGCACTGCCAATTGGCAACATTAAGACAGTACAATACCTACAGGTGTCCGCGTGATCATCAAAGTAGATAAAAGAATAAGCATCTTTCATTATGTCATAGTTTGTGTAATTCTCGTATATAAAAGAAAATGTATAATGCACCTATTTGTCAAATTGTCAGTTCTGGCTCTTTAACTTGTAGTGCTACTTTACCAGAAATTGTTACATGGTGTTATAAAAATATCGACTGACTCTAAAGTTTCTATTAATAGATATTACGCGATAAGTACAAGTATATCGAGCTAAATCCAAGCTGGAAATAGAGAATCTATACTTCAGAAATCAAGAATTCAGAGATAATTAGAAAATGATTGACATGATCGATAATACATCATAAGATTAAAGTTGATTACAGGTTTTCATTATTACTCTAAAGAATATAAATCGTTGGAGCGTGATATCTCTCTTTGTAAGATCTTAAAAATTGCTGATCTGCTGATTTTCATATATTCCAAAGGTCCATCACGAGTTTATTTCACCGATAAATAAAGATCTACTTAATTGAGTAAAAATCAACTTTTGACGCTTTTATAAGTTTATTTTCGAATTTAAATAATTCTATTCAACGCAATGTAAAATAGCATTGCACAATTCCTAAAGCAATGTCTTAAAATAGCAAATTGCAAGAGTTATCGTCAAACAAATGTCGCAACGCGTTATTATCTTCCAGTTACTATATAGACTAAAAAACTACGACTCAGTTTTCTCTTTACATATTGTACGACCTGCGTTATCCTCGTGGAAAAACGATTCAGTGGCCGAAGCCAACTTGGTGTTCTTTCGCGGCGACTTTATTGGACGACACTCGAATTTGCTATCTCGTAGCGTAAAATTAGTATCAAAACTAGACGCATGCCAGTTCATCGCCGCGCTTAGCGCGAGGAGAGCGTCCAGCGATTCCCGTATCTCGCGTTACACACGAATAAGAAAAGGAAAAAGTGAGCCGCTTACCAGCTGTACCAGCTTGAGGATACCGGGTATGGTCTTGAAGTAAGACACGTTCAGCCGGACGCCGGCCAGCGGATTCGGCTGGCCCGGCTCCGTCTTCACCGTCGGCACCTGCCGCGGATTGTTGCTGGCGTTATTGCTGGAACCGTCCATCGTCACCACGGTCTCCGACATCATGTTACGCCGATCCGCACGCTCCGGGTTCACCACACGCGCTCGCGTACACGCTCGTACCTCGTACCTCAGCTCACTCGTCCCGTCCCGTCCCGGAGTGAAAGGCGACGGGGAGTAAACACCCGGGGGAGCAAAATGGAGAACCGAGCCGAACCGGTACCGCGGGAGAGAACCGATCGCGGGACACCTGTTGTGTGTGTTCACCACGGCCCGCGCGCACGGAGGCCTTTACCACTGCGCACTACCTACGGTATTAACAGCGGAGCCGCTATTCTCCCACTGTCGCTGCCACGCTACGGCCGCTGCTCACAGTGCCGGATCAATCGACGAGATATGGTAAATTCGTGTTGAATTTATCGGATCTCGTTTCCCGTAAATTTCATCATAGTTTAGAATGGGACGGATTCTCATTAACATTTGAGATAAGCAAAGCGAGTGGGAACAGCATTGTTTCGATCTTTACAAGAAATTGAAGATAAAGAGATTTAAATAAAAGATCTTTAAAAAGGAGATCTTTAAATCTCTTATTCTATAAATAAAATAACGTGTTACAATTTTATGTTATGTAATAAAGTTTAAAGAATAAATTCTTTCTCTTTTTTCTTTTCTACAAAAATGTAATGTATCTTTTAATTAAAAAAACGATATCGATCTGTAATATATATATACATTTAAAATATCATGTAATCTATAAAAAGGAGCAATTATTAGTTAATTAATTTATTTTTTCTTATAAAAAAAAACAAACTAAAATATTATATATAAATTTTATGATTTATATATATATATAGCATATATTTTTATCAAATATTCTCAAATAGGTTATAAATTTTGAGAGAGAGAAAAAGAGAAAGAGATTGCATATGTTGTATGTATAATATAATACTTCGAGCCCTCAGCAGATGTTAAGCCGTCACTGATTCACCCCACTTCTCATTCCTGCTCGCGATAGTAGAAGCGCACATCCTTACGTTGTGTGTATCTCACAATCTTTTCTGTTCCGCTTCCATCATTATACTTGTCACCTGAATGCTGACATTCTTTTTTGTCTTTTTAACATGAAAATTTCTCATATACACGACGTTCACTAACGTTAGATTCACTCAAATTACAAATTACAAATTATATAAATTTAGGAACAATTTTTCGTGTTCTCAAATTCAAAATCGAAGTAATTATGTCTAATCTTAATTTTGAGGCGTAATATAATTTATAAAAATTATATTAAATACATAATAATATATAGAATAACATTTATGTAATACAATAAAATAAATTATACATAAGTGCATTTGTCATAGGAAAAAAAAAACAAATTCCGTATAAAGTAAAAAATATTAAGTAAATAATAAATTATTTATCTTATATTTCTCTAACGTCATCGATCTCTACGTCATCATTCTCTAACGAAGAAAACAGACGCGAGAAAAATACGATCGCACGAATTTATGATATGCTTGATACCCACGACATCTAACAAACCAGCGCAGTAAGTAAATTTCAAATGGCGGAATTACACTGCTTAATTTTACCCCGATAATAATATTTATACAATTTATTAAAAAGTAAAAAATGAATTTAAAATTTAATAGTTCATACGCGTAAATATTATTATTATTAATATAATACTAATATGATACTAATAAGTAAATTTGTAAAATAAATAATAATAAAATATAAATTATCATAATTAATCTGAAACATATGATGGATCAATAAAAATTTGTCTAACGATGTCTAAACTCTTACTTGAAAAACTCTAATTGAGTTCAAAATACAAGTGTCACGTGATAGTATAGAATAATAGAATGGATTCGCTTGTGGTTACGTGACGTA